TGATGTGAACATACGCAATTATAGGCAACCGTACGGCATTCGACAATGAGAAAAAAACCATACCGTATAGTCGGCTATAAAAAGTCTCGACATGAAAAATATGAAACAATTCAATTGAGAAGACTTACTGCCTAATTCATAACAAAACCATTTACGAATAACAAACATGACAGACACGAACCAACGACAACCACTGAACTACAGGACTGTAATTCAGTGGTTGTCGTTGGTTCACGCCTGTCATATTTGTTTTTCGTAAGTTGTTTTGTTATGAATTAGGCAGTCGGGGCCTTTTATAGCCTACTATACGGTATGGGTTTTTCTCATTGTTGAAGGCCGTACTGTTGCTTATAATTGCTAACATCCACTTTATTTGAACTTTGGTGGATAGTTGTCTCATTGGCAATCATACCACATCTCCTTATTTTTAAATTAATGTCTTCTGTTTTTGTTTTGCAGTAGTTTGGTTAGTCTTTTCTCCTTATATTCACATCTGTATTTATAAAATTCCCCAATATTGGGATACTGACTGATTTAGTAGATAAAATCCAAATAAAATATCGAGATGAACGTGTCGTCTTTGATTAAAATATTTCAAAAAAATATAATTGATAATAAGTTTTAATGTATTTTTTTTGTGTAAATGAATTTTCAGAAGATTTTTAAATCTAAACAGACGTATAGTACATAAAATTGAGAATGGAAATGGGGAATGTGTCAAAGAGACAACAACCCGACCATAGAACAGACAACAGCAGAAGGTCACCAACAGGTCTGGTCTGTACAGACTGTTTCCAAACTTCTAGTGATATCGAAATGTCCGGTGTATTCGACAACTAAGTTGTTGAAATTTAGCAGATGCACAATATCTAATCGGCAAACCTCGGGTGACTTTGCTTCTGTACGGAATCGGCTGAGTTGTGACGAATGGCACAATATCATATAAGAAATTAAATTTACTGGAAATAAGTTTTGGTATTGTATGCTACTCCTATGCTCTCCATACTGTCCTAAGTATGCTTCATTGTCTTTATATTTTACCCTTCTTTTCTTTTGAATACCCACTGTATGGATGGAAAGACATGTTTTCGCGATCTCTAACCTTAAGATATCAAAATAGTAGTCTTATCTGTAAATTTATTGTTTTTGTTCCCTATCGGGATATTTTGACAGAGTGTTGATTTGCATGACGGGTGAAGCATGCATTGCAGGAGACACTTACCATGTCGACGTCCACGTTTTCGGAAAACATTTTATATTTCAAGGTTTGTGCTTAATATTACTGCTACTAATTTGTATCTGACATTTATTAATAGGTATTGTAGATAAGTCCGGTTCCAATAAAATATTAACAGAATGAATTTGATTTTTTTTTGACATTTGAAACTGAAACGATTAACGAATTGCAATTTGTTTTTATATCATATTACAACTTTTATTTGGCATAAAATGGCCAATTATAAACAAGAATTCCTAACAATTCCAAAATTAACTCCGTTATTTTACCACTAATTGGGAGAAGTCGATATTTTGATAAATATTTAAGAGAAACCGGTGAATTTGAAGACGCACGACAGAGGATTTACACTTTGCGTGTCAAATCAATTTTGCACATTTCTACTCCTTTTCATTTTAGTTACTATGGAAACGAATTATTTAATTCCCTGAGCGAAAGATTTATTTTGTTTCAGAGGATAATGGATTTGTACAAGTTTGGTGGAAGTCATTTGTCGAATGATGCGTTTCAGAAAGTGTTTGTAGATAGTGATATCGACTTCCATAATAGATATCATAAGGATGTATATTTCTTTTTGACAAGTCTACTTTATATGTCTTAATTGCTTTCTGATATAACTTTCCTGATCTTGTTTTGATATGGAAGAAGTCTTTAAAAAGAGAAAAAAAATCATTGCCCCTAAATCAATTACCTTTTCTGTTTTCGCACAGTTATATAAAAAAACTACAATTAATGAAAATTTTTAAGAGGATTTACATAACGGAATTTAAAGTTTCTTTTTGGCTTTCATGGTCTCAAGCCATTTGTGTTTTATTGTCATCTTTTGTCGTTTTTCGTCCATTGATAGTCGAAAGGAGTGGACATTTAAAAAAAAAGATTATCATATTTTATTAATATTTCAGTTTACTTTGTTGAGCATGAAATTTCAAATATATCATTTTTTTCTGTGTAGATTAATATTTTCATTGAGTATAATTGTGATAAAGTAGTTGAGGAAGGAGAACAAGGACGGATCAATGGTCATCAAGTTTCATCTTAACAATACCTGTACCAAGTCAGGAATATGACAGTTGTTTTCCATTCGTTTGATGTTTCTGAGCTTTTGATTTTGCCATTTAAAAAGGAACTTTCTGTTTTGAATTTTCCTTGGAGTTCGGTATTTTTGTTGTTTTACTTTTTTTGGCATACATGGCTATAATTCTGAATAAAACAAAGACCATAGACAGGAATAAACTGTGTCCATCCTCTAAAATTAACTTGAAGGAATACCAAAGTCATCAGCGACCTTCATTCTTCTTTATGCAAATATTGATGCAGATAGAGAAAGCTGATGAAAAGCATTATTTTTTTTAAAACAATATTAAAATTATCGCAGAAAGCATTGTGTGTTTATACAAGCTGAGAAAGCAGCTAACACTTTTTGCTATGTCAGATTGAGTAATATAAAAACATTATCAACACTTATTTCGTCATATCGCTCGTTTACTCGTTCTTCTTCTACTGATCGTAGATGTTTACTTTTCAATAACTACTATACTGAATGTTGATATTTCACATACAAAAAACACAGTAAGTATTGTTTGGCTTTGTTATTTACACAAGATACATAACTGATTTAATTTAATATAAGTTCAACATCCAATATATTTATCCTTCTGACTACTGTTGAAACAACATGTATTTTTTTTATCTCTTTATGTGTCCATCAGTTCACTGACTAACTATTAGAACATAGCCCTACTTTGACAAAAATGCTTTTGATGTTACTGTTTGCTTAAACCAGCAAATGCATTTACATGAATAAAACTTATATGAGAAATATATTTTGACCATTGTGAGCCCAAATTTACTTGTGTATGAACTTGCATCACAATTCTAGGGTAGATGTACTAAATAGAATGCCAATTAAGATTTTAAGAAAAGGAGGGTGCTATTTCAAAAATATTCTCTTGTTAACATTGTCATATGGATTTTCTAGTCTTGTCGTCGTTTAGTTACTTCCCAGTAACAGGATTACTTTGAATTGGATCTCGTGAAGCGTACCACATTATTTAATTTAGAAAGTAGGAATTATATCTGTTAAATTTCTTCCTAAATAATTTGCATACAATTATTATAATTTTTGAGAACATCCAGAAGATCTTATGCATACTGATAATAACAGAAGTAATTTTGATAATAATTGGATATACAATCATTTATATATTATATTCATTTTTCGTTAATTGTTTCGTCGTTAATGAGGCCGCTGAATTTCTCGTTTGAATTGTTTACGTAACATTTTGCCATGATATCGTAAACTTTTGTAGCTGGCTATATGGCGTTGGTTTTACTCATTGTTGAAGGCCTTACGGTGATCTATGGTTGATTAAGATTTTGAATTTGTGGTTGATAGTTGCCGCATTTACAGTCATAACTCATCTCCTTATCTATATATTTATCTATGGTTCATTTTGAATTTTCACTACGAAAATAGAGATCTGGCGCAAGGATTTATAAAAAAAAAACGTATCGTCTAAAATCTACAGTAAATAATGAATACATCTATTTGTGTTAAAATTAAGTACAGATTATTGGAATTGATTTATAATTTCTAACAATTAATCAAACTTGCTGCAATGTATTAACTTGATTTGCAGTTTTTCCTAACAACAAGATTTCGTGCAAAAATGCTTTTATCGTAATTATCTTTAAGCATCGGTTATTTCTTTGGACGGTCATTCTTAATATCTTTTGCAATGTGGTATGTGAAACGAGGTAAAGAAAATTATTAAATTCTCATTTCTCTAGGGACAAATATAACTAAGAAATCGATCTCATTTCCACCATGCTTTTCGACAATAAAACAGAAATTTGATTACGGAAGAACTACCGTTCATCTTTACCCTGCTGTGTACGTTCTAATCGATTGCGGACGTTGAGACTTTTGCTTTCAAATATCTGAAATAAAAACAACGCCAAGTTAGGTTATCAATTATATCAACTTTACCACTAAAGTACGATATATTTTGCGGTATCTGTGTTTCCATTCAATGCGTATCGTCGCACACGTTAAAAGCGATTAGTTTGAATGTTTTTATGGGTATTATTTTCTAAAAATCATTATTCCCCAGACGATCTGATAGGTTTGTTATGGGGACATTTTAGTTCTTGAATTCGTGATATACAGACTGAAGAGCTTTAACATAAAAACATTCTCGTTATGTTATTTGTTTACTCTATCATCACACTTGAATGATACAACAGTGCTTGCTATCGTTAGTAAATGGCATTATATTTTGTTGGAAGTATTGAAATGAAACTACTGAGATGATTTATAGACCTGTCTTTCTTACATATTTTTGTTTGCATAGTTGTTTGTTATATACAACTATGAATAGAAAAATATTGAGTGCGTACAATTATTTAAGTTTTTTTTATAATTGTTTATTAATATAATGGTAACATTCAAAATGCAATTGTAATGAAAGAGAGACGAAATATACCAAAGAGACATTCAAACTCATAAGTCGAAAATAAACTGAAAACGACATGGCAAAAAAAAAATAATGAAAAAGACCAAAGACAAACAACAGTATACAAAACACAACATAGAAAACTACTGACTGAGCAACACAAACCCCACAAAAAACCGGGGGTGATCTAAGGTTCTCCTTTGTTTAGTACATCATGCATATATCATTAAGCTAATGATGACAAGAAATGTTTTAGGGTTACAAGAAAAATGACGAAAGCTAGTAACGTGCTTCTTTTTCTGTTGTAGTTTGTAATTTATTGGAACACAATGTATATGGAATCCTTGGAGCATTTCAGTCATGTGCCTTATCAACAATCCAGTCGTATACGGACACATTTAAAGTCCCCTTTATTTCGTTAAGTATGCCACAGCAATCCTCTTCTCCAGACCCGTACCAGCTTTATATAAGACCAGCATATATAAAAGGACTACTTGATGTTGTACAGTTAAAACAGTGGAACAAAATATTTTACATTTATGAAACAGATGATGGTATGTGTTTTTTTTTAAATATGTACTTGACGCGTTAATACCTATATTTATATATCTAAACAAATATTTTGGGAAAAAAATCCAAAAAATGGGCAATAATTTCATCGGAAAGAGAAGGTAAAGTACACCTTTTTATGTTCAGGCGTGTTTGAGATGACTATTTTGTCTTGAAAGCGTATTAAGCAAACATATTTGATACATCATCTCGCTTTAGATTCTATTATTTTTTATATTTAGGCTACCGGTTGATAAAATAGAATTAGAAATTCACAGTACTAAAAAATAAATATATAGGTCAGATGAAATACCTTTATAATGAGTTATAACAACAGAGTAGGTGTGTTTGAATATCAAATATTTTTTTTAAAAGTACTTGTCGACAGAATTTACTTGTGAATCTTAAAGATGCATAACTTTTCTTTTTTTTTGTGTGATATCTAGGGTTATTATTCTTCAACCTCTGCACATGTTTAGTCTGCACTTCCACGTAATATTTAATTAGTTTTTTTGTAATGTTTTTGAACTATCGAAAATTCACCATGACAACTGATCAGACAATTATGGTTTCAGATTAACTAAAGGCATTAAAAGTACGTTAAATGATGCTTATTAGCTAGTAGATAATTTTGTCTTTTAAAATACAACTGTTTTATTTAAGGATCGTAATGACGCTATGTGGATAAATTTATCGGTTTTTAAGAGCAAAATTGACAGCGCGTCATCCCTACAATGGCTTCCATTTTCACGATTGAAAAAAATAGGTGGCGTAATGTGGAAAACATTTTGAAGAAGTAGAATCCTGACTGATCTTTAGATTAACAAAAACAAAAAAAATTACGATGGTGTTGATTTTTTTTTTCGTATGTATAAGTTTACATGTTCCGCTAATTTTACCTTTGAAGTTTTAAATATGATTAACCAATTCATAAACTGACTTAAATATGCGTATTTCTTATTCAGGATTAGTAAGACTACAACAATTATATCAAGACATTAATAGAAGGGAACTAGACCTAGATATAATTGTAAAGCGTATAGTTTCAGTACAAAGCTGCCACCAGATGTTGCGAGATATTTATAATGAAATTACAAAGGAACCGTTGAGAGTATTTCTAGACCTAACTTCTGACCAATCACAGGAAGTTATAACAGCCATTGTAGGTATCAACGATATTTTGCAGACGCTTTTCAGATCTTACTGTCAGTATTTCTCGATAAATTATTTTCAAATATACTTCCACATCTATTTATGAATAAATTATCTCAAAAGAATAGACAACTTCAATAAGGCAAGAAGATAACAAGAGGCAATGGAACCGTAAGCCGAAGAACAACAGGCAACACCATGACTCCCCCAAAAACAACGGAAAGACACATTCCACAAAACACTACACTAGAAACTAAAAAATATGTAATACAAACCCTATTGAAAACCAGGTTGAACTCATATGATACGGATGGGTAAGACGCTGTATTGGCTATTGTCTTACTCATTATTAACTTCCAGATTGTTAACATTAGCAACAAATAAGGGTGTTGCAGTAACAGCTGATTCTTTTGGAGCATCAGTGTTCACTACTGTTTATAAGGGTTTTTTTTGTCTTGTGTTTTGTGGACAATATTTGTCTTTCTGAGCTTTTGTTTAAATCTCATGATGTGGCTGTATTTTATCGTCTTGTAAATCTTAATGACCATCTTGATATCTTCTTAATTTATTTTGAAACTTATAATGTCTCCTTTGCAACAGAAAATAACACATAGACACTCCAGAATAAGCCTTTATTGTTTGTTTTATAGGTAGACAAGAATTTAAAATTAAGTATAACATTGACAGCTTTGTTGTAATCAGCAGATACACATACAATGTAGAATTAATTATAATACGAAATTTACACTTCTATTGTGGTAAAATTTGTTTTTTCATCTTTTTATAATACAGAAATATATATATATATATATACATATATATATATATATCTAAAATACTACAATTACAACTATATGCTTTTGAATTTATATTTTGCCTGTGCGGGTTGAGATTTTCAATAGTTTCTAAATCAATCAACGGATAATGTAAGAAAGCCATGTTAAATATCTTGTCAGTACCGATGCACCGACTACTGAGCTGATGATACCCTCAGTGACTGAGAAGTCAACCAGCAGCTATATCGATCCAGTGCTAGAAAATAAAAATAACACTTCATACATTTGGTACATTCGAAGCACTTTTCTTGCTTTACTTACTCTGAAAGTTTCAAGAGGGTTAAGACGATGATTGCGGTTTGAGGACTTCTACACTTGTTTTTGAAATTCTGACTAATTGTCATTTAATTCACTTCGTCTTTAATTCATAGTCCACTGGTAGGAATATATAACAACAGTATCCTGACTGAAGGCTACAAAGCTTTTTTGTCTCCATATCTGACACTTTTGCTCAGTGGGTAAAGTTCTATTTAATAAATGAAAACCCCACCAGAAAATGGTCTCAAAGTTTTGTTATTGTATATTGTAAATAATCAATATTTGAATTTGCGTCTAATGACTGTTTTGATATGTGGGGTTTGTGTTAAAAAAGCACTTTACTAGAATTTGGCGTAAATTAATGCAACATTAGTTTACCGATGTTCAAATCTCACAAATCAATTAAGAAGAACTAGTTGAATAGGTATTTCTAAACGAATCTTTTTATGATATGCTACTGCACTATTTTGATTGATGTTTTAAGTTCGTCAGCCTTGGTCTTAAGTCATTACCAAATTCAGTGAATAATGAAATTGTTTGAAGTCGTTAATTGTAATTGAAACCACACTATGGACATTGTAGTTTATTAAACACTATGAAATCACGCATGTATTAAAAAAGGGAACAGACACTGTGAATTTAATTTGTCGAGATAAATTTCAAATCTGATTTTTGTATTTACCAACGCTTTTGATTAATGCATGAAGTAGTGCCAGACACCATGACTTTTATGATATACATCAAAGGAACTAACAGAAGTTTAATGTTTATCATTTGGTCCAAATATGCTTAAGGTGATATGAAGCTATCAGGTTTTAAGTTTTCTTTCTGTTTTATCATTGATTTATTACTGTTGTATGTATTAAAAAAACTCATGATATTAAGCTGTGTAGGCTCTAAGTTTTATTGTTGCAAGGTTATTTCTCGTTGATTGATTAGTTTTTAGCCTAATTGTATCGTCTGGTCAGATAGGAAAACAGACTTGATCGACCTAAATGTTAACATTTGGTCTCAGATGGTATGTAAATTTACAGAGAAACTTGGCAGTTGAACCGTAGTCACGACACTGAAATAAGAAGGTAGGATAGGTTGATATTTTCAATTGCATGCAGACTCAAAAAGAATGATAATAGATAAAGTTAATTGATTACACGCAATGAGTGTGTTAAACATTTAACACTTAAACTTCTGTTGTGTGAGTATTTTAATGCAATTGAATTTACGATTGTCTCTCTTTTACAGAAACATGATCCAGACATCAGCAACAACAGATTTCATTTTCTTCTTGTTGATTTGGTTAGTATCAAATCAAATACCAAATGTCGATATGTTTATAACAATGGTATCGATGTTTGATTATTTGTTGCATTGTAAGGTCTCAACTTCATGTATACAAATCTTTGTTTATTGTATATGCTATATTTCATATTTGACTGGTAGCGTATTCGTTCAGGAAGGTTGATTTGTAATTATCAATAACCGAATTCGAAATAGTTTTTTCAATATGTTATGTTTAGCCTTATTCAGACTTACAAGTTATGAATCATAGGATTGGTTATGTGAGCAAGATATAATAGATATTTCCAGTCCCTATTTTTAATTCTCAGTAAAATGTACGACAGTGCGCATGATTAGAAGTTATTTTAGAGTTAACTTGAATAAACTCAAAAGCCAAGTGTAAATCAATACATTCGCCTTTCAACATATTGAGATTGTTTTATGTATTTTATGAAAAATAAGTCACAGCCTCTACAAATTTATTTAAGCTCTTCTAATATAAAATGACAAATGCATAAGATTAGCTGATTTTATTCTTAGAGGTCAGTTAAGGACGTTAAATACTACAATTTAACATGACAACGACAACAATTTTCATAGATAAAACCTTCTTTTGCAAAAAGAAAAAATATATATAATGCATCTTTATTTGAAAGCAGCACATAAGGAGTTCTAAATTAACGGTAATGAGGAGTATAAGTGACAAATGAATGATAAACTGGGAGGAAATGTAGTGGAAATAATAAAAATAATAAAATATTTGTTCAGAAGTGCTTCAGTTGTATGGGGTTTTACAAAGATGGAAGAAATATATTCAGGTTTTCCTGCAGAAAAAACATTAAATGCATCGCTTAAGTAGAAAAAAATCCGGAAATGTAGGCTAAGGGACCATGAGAAAACTCAAAATTATAAGCCTAGTTTCTTTGGTGAGTTTTCTTTTTTATACATCGTTAAGGCAACGATAGTAATAAAGGATTTATCATGAACTTAGGACAGTATTAGGTTAATAAATAAATGCTGTCAAAGTACACCCAAATCTGCTTTAAAGTTCGTGTCTGTGTAGCGAAACCATGTCTTGTCAGGAGACCCTGTTATTGTTCACCATTGAATATACCTATGCATTTGAAACCTCTACAAGAAGGTCATCCGCGTTAGAAGGTTACATTTCACGGGTTTCGAGACTGACCTTTGAATACTGGTTTGCTGGTACTTATATCTAATGTATCATTCTTAATTGTGTGGTTAATGAAAATCATGAATGTTTAGTACCCGGTTTTTTTGTGTACATGTGCAGTTTCAGAAGTTTGCACGAATATAATGACATAAAAAAAACTTAAACCTGGAAACTCATTGACGCCACTAACTAATACTTTTCTAATGTATTACAATACACAGAAAAATGACAATTCATGAATGTAATTAATTTATCACACCTTATTTTAGGGAATCAACGACATGAATGCAACAGTGTTATCCGCTGGCATGAACGTTTCTGGGTTCAGTTTGAAAGTCCCTGAAGCAGAGCCATGGAATACTCAATCACGAAAAAGGAAAACAGTAAGTCACGTACAAAATCGTAAATAAATTTTCACATTGAAAATGTGCTTATTTGAAGTAAATACATTATTCCTCGAACCAAAAATATTCCCTGTTATTTTTTACCTCTAATCGATACTCTCGCACACTGACATCAGAGAAAAGCACACATAATAAATCCTTGCTTTTTTTTTCATTATGAGTAATAATTGATTTGTTCATAAATACAATCTACGAATTTACCAAAATATTCACGTCACAACAAACCAGATATCTGCTAGTATTTTTATTGTCAAATACTCCCAAGATAAATTAAAAAAGGGGAAGTTCACACAAAAACTAACAAAATCAAACGTTGTCAAAGATCATCTGACATGACCAACACTGAAAACAACAATATGAATACAATAAACAAATTAAATCAGTGAATTACCATTCCTAGAATGATCATATATGAACGTCATAGGATGTTCTTGACAATTTGATTTTACTGTATTAAAAACATTGGAAAATGCCTTAAAATTATTACTTAATAATTCTTTCAATTATAAGAGACATTACTGTTCATTAAATTGATAATATATAATAAGATAAAACAAAAATGTTCAAATTCATGTTATGATTTAAGTATGGGGACGTACTTGTTGAAGATGCAGTCCTGGTCTTTCATAGAGCTTTGAAGAAACTAACTGATCCAGTCACCCAGATACGTAATCCAGACGACATGATCAAGTGTAGAGACAATGAACGTAGTATTTCATTTAGGCCCGGAAAACGTGTTTTGAATGCTATAAGAGAGGTACAAACCTATTATTTTTTCTTCTTACAAATCGATTGTTTCAGGAGCGTTCTTGATCGATGATATTTTTTTAAAAATATGTTCGATGAAATCAGCTTCATTCGTTTCTCTTTTTTGTTGTAGACGAGTCTTGAAAATGTATCTGACCTCCTAAGTGAAACTATTGATTATAAACATTGATTGATTGATTGATTGGTGGTTACCGCTACTTTCTGTACTATGATTACCGGCATAATTTTTGCAAGTGAAATCGCGTTTGTTTATTTCTAAAAGTTTACATATACACTTCTTTACGAAACAAAGGGGATGTGGGGAAAACGTCAATACACCTTATCGCTAATCCCGCTTGACCCGAGAATCAGTCCCGCTCGAACTTTTGACGTCATACAACAATCACTTTTCCATTGTGGCGTCAGATATTTTCTATTATGACGTCAAAATTTTACGGGAACTTGTGTGATGTCCAGTAATGGCGGACAAATAGCGATAAGGTGTATGGACAACAACCGAAAAAAAAAAAGAAAAAAAAAAAACAACAGAGGGCAACAAACAGTTCTCGACAACAGGCAGGTAACTCTTTGAGGCTTTTAACTGTCTCAAGTCTATAAAAGTTGTGAATAGATTTAATTCTGAACGAATGAATTTTGTACAAATACCAAAAACTATAGTAGCAATTTGTTCAGGTAGGATTGACCTTTCGATTAATAAACCGTTCCTGTATGGGTTTCGTTAAAATGTATCTGCCTTCCTAAGTGAAACTATTGATTATAAACATTAAATGATTGATTGATTGGTGTTTACCGATACTTTCTGTACTATTGTGCTATTTCGTGGCGGTCAATTTTTATTGGTGGAGGTAGCCGGAATGCCCGGAGAGAACCACCGACTTTCGGTAAGAAAACTGACAATCCTAGTCAATTGAAAATGGAGTCGAATGAATGGATCAATACATGATCTTTTAAAATGTCCATACGCAATAGGATGGCAACGTATCATCTGTTGTGTAATACCTAAATAAGACGATTCGAAAATATTGTTATCTGTTTTGTAGGGAGAGTATGATGGAAAAAGTGATAGTGAAAATCCGATAAAGTTTCAGGAAAATGGCTGGCGAAAGGAGTTCAAGCTTCCTCTTTTCGAAACTAGAATGAATATGCAGATAGCTAAAGTATGAACTGTTCTCTTCTTTCATGGTTTTGTTCCTTTGTTTTTTTTTCTAATTGGGTTTACTTTTTTAGTTGGTTCCGATAGTCGATGATAGATGTGACGTATCATGTTTTAATGAAAATAATATGTGTTTCTAAAACATTAAAAACAAGGACGAAAAACTATATAGTGGTTAAAACCTTTGACTAAGGTAAGGCATTAATTGTGTTGGTATGACTCGACATTATAAAGTCAAGTTACAATATTATTTCATATAGTACTTCAAACCTAGCATTTTATGATAACATTATTTATAAATAGTCAAAACAAAGTCTAGCAAAAAAAACATTTCAAATAGTATTTCAAACATAGCAATATATGATAAGATTACTTTAAAATCATTCGGGTATTGTCCTTCAAATCATTCTTCCTTTTTGAAATAAAGGTAGGTAGATCTGGTATGATTCCTAATGCAACAATCATCCACCAGATACGAAATGATGTGGATGAAAACAACTGTAGGTCACCGTACGACCTCCAACAATGAGAAAAACGCATACCGTTTAGAAAGCGATGAAAGCCCAACATGACCAAATGTTAAACGGTTCAAACAAGAAAACCAAGGCCTGATACATAGTTACACATTTATAAAGTCTATAATCATAATGTTGTTATTTGCATCCCGTTTTTATTAATATCAATTAATTTTATTATTACAGTTTGCATCACAACTAAAAAAAGTTCTGTATTGAAAATCTATAAAACTCAAATTTCACACGATCGTGCTTAATTTCTCTGTTCAAGACATTGCTGTATGGAATTAACTCCGTGAATAATTAAAATTTGTCTAGAATAAAGAAATAGTTTGTATCAGGTAACAGACTGAAAGAATAATTTGATTTCCCAACAATACTTAGTTTTATCTGCTCCTAAAATCTGTAATTATATTTGTTTTTCTCTCGTTTTTTTTGTTAGCTCGAGTTTGTATGACTATGTTATCTTAACTAATATTTTACAGCATTTATCAGATTCTGATTGTTGTCCTCTAAATATATAAATATATGACGACTTTATAAAATCGTGTTTCCTTTTTTCAGGTAGGAGTTTTCAACCCACCAACACAACTACAGTTACACGAACCAGAGATACAAACAGCGCCTAGACCGAATATAACAAATAGACAAATAGTTCGACGGATAACCACAGTCAAGGTGACAATTTATGCGTTTTAACAATAACATTAGTATTATATACTACTTTCTCATGGAATTGAACAAGATTTTTCTTGTTCATTCATTAAAAAACTGTAATCGAGACGTCTAATGGTTGTAACTTTTGACATCTTAGCATTATACAAAATTTCACTTTTGTGACTATTTTCAATAACTATTGCTAGGCTCTGTTCAAAGCTGGTACAAACACACTAATTTTTCATAGCAAAGTTAATCATTTCGAACATTTTATTGAATTGTGCACAATGGATTATGAAACGTTCTATGTATTAATTAAAGAATAACTAATCGAAGAATTCAAATAGAGAAAAATATTCAACGAGTGACCGAACAACACATTAATTCACGAATGCGCGTAGCGCATGAGTTAATTATCAGTGTTGTTCGGTCACGAGTTGAATATTGTTCGATATTTGAATTCTTTGATTAGTTATTCATTTTATTACATTGGCAAATGGCTTTTTTTAAGGAAATTAATGTAGAAAATGTAAGGAACTATATCTTGTTCCTACGCATTCACAATTTGTTTTGATCCGACGTTATCGACGTCTTGACAACGCCTATTGTTGTATGACGTCAGAGAGTGAAATAACCACGTTTATTTCACATGTGAAATTATCGGTTTTTATTTGTATGGGAAATCAATGTAATTCATTGCTACCAATGTAATAACTATTGCTACTACATTTTATATTAACTAAATAAATTACTAAACTTATATTGTTTATTTCATTTTATGAGCCCTGCAGTTGGCTAACGTATCAGTTAAACTGAAAGAGCTGAAGATATCACATAGTGAACGTAGTTTTGTAGCTTATTTATTACTTTGAATGGGAATACCTTTAGACCATTTACATTAAATAACAAACAAAATTTATCAACATCAACAAGAATTTATGTTTTTTGATGTTGTAAACGAAGACCACACCATACATGTATGGGAAAAAAAGAGGACGAATAAAGACAGATAATACTAGTAGAATGACCGATAGAAAAAAGGCAAACAATACAAAAACATTCAATTAAACACCATATAGATGTGTTTAGGCTGTGTATCGTTCACAATCATGTTTGCGGGAATGCCACAGGATCTGCTATATATTTTATTTTATGATTTATTTTCTGGTCAAATCATCTGTCACACACACGCACGCAAATCATGTAATTATATCAGAAAGTAAGTTTAAATCGTGATCAACAAGATGTCGCCTGAATGACATATCTATGTATGAATATATCAACTGCAGGGTTTGTGGGTAAAATAGAGAAGTCTTCGAATATTTTAAGCGGAGATCAGTTCAAATCATTCCGTTTGCCTAATTTGCCGGCGAGAAAGACAGAATAGAAGCTTGTTGAAACGGTCGATATTTTACAAGACCCGCTCACTAACTTTACAATAGTAACAGAAATAGCCTGCTAGAAAGACAACCATTTTATCAAAATACATAACAAAAATTAAATTGGTTTATTGATTGATTGATATTTAACGCCACTTTTACCACTCTAAACTAAATTAAAGATGATGTCTGTTGAAAAAAATACACAAAATAAACAAAATATATTTTCTTGTCCAATAGAAGGTGAAACTAGATTTAAAATATACATCATTTTTGGGTTATTAGGTTACGATAGTGAAGTTGACGATGAAACAAAATGCAAACAGAAAAGTAGAATCCTCCTTTTATAATGAACACTTGTGGTGTTTTACAGGAAGATCCTTATGTAATGTGGACTGAACAAGGAGAACAAATAGGAGCTACATGTGGAAGAGAAAACTTCCAAGGTTATATAATAGATCTGATAGAAAAAGTATCTGATTATCTACATTTTAATTATACACTATGCATTTCTGGGGATGGTACATATGGCAAAAAACTGGAAAACGGCACATGGAATGGTGTGATCGGAGAATTAACCAGAGGGGTAAGTACGTGTCGTATACCACTATAAAAGAAACACACACATAATCGAAATAATGCAATATCAAGGGAAACAACAAATACTAATAAATTCAAACAATTTTGTTAACAAATCACAGTGCCCATATTAGGGCAGAATAATTACAGTAACTGTACTTATGATTAAAAAATTGAACATATATTCATTTGTTAAAGAAAACAACTGCATGAAATATACATACTGGTGAATAAAAACCAGCAATATGGAACACGACATTTTCTTACAATAATAAAGGGGAACAGCTCTGAAGTCAATTATTCATTAGTGCATCTCTTTCGTTGGACAGTTGTTTTAAAAGTTATGAATTATATAAATGCTGTCTGTGTCTTCATTGCTTAAAAGCCAAATTAATTTATTTTCGTCAGAAAGTTTACGAAAATTATTATTATTATTATAATAAACCTCTCACTAATGCATTTATCATCCTTTTAGTAGTTAATGATGGTATAAAAGATATATGAAAAAAAAACATAGTTATAGCGAGTATATAACTTCTGTTCTTTTCAGATTGCTGATATTGCCTTTGCGGCGATGACAATATCATCAGAACGAGAAAGAGTAGTCGATTTTACAAAACCGTTTATGAGTTTAGGCATCAGTATCATGATAAAAAAACCAACAAATAAAAAAGCACACACCTTCTCATTCATGGACCCATTGTCCTATGAAATTTGGATGTGCATTTTGTTTGCCTACGTCGGAGTTAGTGTGGTGTTATTTCTTGTCAGTAGATTTAGTCCAACAGAATGGCATATAGAAGACGACAGGACAATACGAAATGACTTTACAATATCAAACAGTTTATGGTATTCGCTTGGAGCATTCATGCAACAAGGGTGTGATATAAGTCCGAAGTAAGCCATTTTATGAATTGAATATAGTCAAGCATATTTTTTCTCTGTTCTCTACAGCCATATGCAACAGAAAACTCATTTTCGCCAAAAAGAAAACAGACTAAAAAACAACTAAAATTCAAATTTATATCTTGCACCACATTAGGTCATGAGTGCCTTACATTTTAATTCAAAACAAAGGAAATATGAGATATGTGGGTCAACTGTGAATTGTTGAAATGAACTGACCCATCAAAATAAATATACAATACTTGATGAAATTTCTGTTTTCTAAGTTTCTAGAAAATATCTTAAGTATATGATTCCCTTGTATGTGTACTCATTGGCATTTTAGTCTCGGAAAACATGGTTTACGTATCAGCATTAGTTGAAATAGGCTTAGAACTTTCTTCAAGTTACTATGAGTACTCTCAAATCGGTACTTCGTGACAATTGTTTTCATTTTAGTTTTTTCTTCCTTTCCCATCTGACGAGTCAAGTCCGCTCCAACTGATTTAACAGCTTTTTATTATGTTGTGCTGTTTCCCCACTGTCTCTGGTAAGAATGTTTTGAGCACTTACACACATGTTTAAGTAAGTCACATCAATTATGTGCCTTTCCTTTTTCAGGATCCCGTAATTAAGTAGTTATCGTACAAAAACTAATAAAGAGGTTCCTAACTTCAAATAGACGCTAACGTTGTTGTTAAAAAAAACCTACAATGCATTTAACAATTGTTTTGAATGAAAAATAAACGGATATTTTCTAATTTGATTTCAGATCTGTTTCTGGAAGGATTGTCGGTAGTGTTTGGTGGTTTTTCACCTTAATTATCATATCCTCATATACTGCAAACTTAGCCGCGTTCCTTACAGTAGAGAGAATGAATACACCCATTGAATCAGCAGAAGATTTGGCTAAGCAGACACAAATTCAGTATGGTGTATATGAGTATGGAACTACAGCTGACTTCTTTAGGGTAAATAAGGATATGACTGTTGCGATCTATTTTGTATCTCATTATGTAATTAAAGGTGCTATGACGCTCTACTTTTAGTTAACACAGCTTTCATGAACATGTACATGAATGGTTTTTAAGAAAAAAACTGAGATCACGGTCATATGATGATTTGGACAATTTAAACGATACACTTTGTTTGCAAATGTCAAGGGCAAAAACCATATCTGTAATTGTACCAAAAACTACGTTTGTTACTCCCGATTAACGTTATTTCCGACACATGTGTTATGTACATATAATTCATTTGCAAAACGTTTGATAAACAAATACATAGATCTCTCGGTCTCTTTTTGTTAAAGTAATAGCATTGCAAAGAAATTAAAAGACGGAGGTTTACTTCTCCTTCCTGTTTGAAAATCTTCAATGTATGTTCGTAGCTTTAATTCATCCATCCTAAATTTACATGACTTAGAGAAATGATTTAAAACACACCAATCAAGAAAGACCTATACGTGTGCATACACAATTAAATAACCAAAGGTTTTGGAGCTATATTTTTTTTTATTTAACCCCCCTTCCCCTTCAATGTAAAAAAAAACCAACAAAAAAACAAGAGTCTAGATATCGTTTTACTCGTAGTACCTATATATATATATAGATATAAGAAGATGTGGTATGAGTGCCAATGAGATAACTCTCCATCCAATTCACAATTTGTAAAAGTAAACCATCATAGTTCAAAGTACGGCCTCCAACACGGAGCCTTGGCTCACACCGAACAGCAAGCTATAAAGGCCCCAAAAATGACTAGTGTAAAACCATTTAAACAGGAAAACCATTTGTCTAATCTGTATAAAAAACGAGAAACGAGAGACACTTATGAACCACATCAACAAACGACAACCATATTTATAAATAGATATATTGTTTTCATATACATATCTTTAATTTGTCAATAGTACATTTGTAATGTGATAAAATAATGCGTTTTACAGCTGTCAAAGGTTGCCATTTATGAGCGTATGTGGGCCTATATGACTTCTGCACAAGATGTATTTGCAAAGACAACAGCTGAAGGTGTACAAAGAGTACGAGATGAAAATGGCAAATATGCGTATTTGATTGAGTCGTCAACGAACGAATATAAAAACACACGAAAACCATGCGATACAATGAAAGTAGGAAATAATTTGGATTCAAAGGGCTATGGAATCGCTACACCAATTGGATCCGATTTAAGGTATATGAAGACACATATTAACCAGTACTTGTTTGTGCTAATATAACAATCGCATGAAATATCCTAAGAATGGATTGTTAAGACGAGTTCACCAATGAAAAAACTTTAAAAACTACATGTAAAAATAAGTCAATTGAGAACAATTTGCAAGGAAATTATTCTTATATGAAATACTAAATCTTTTTTATAAATATTGGTAACAAACAAATGTTAAGATAGACAAAAAGTAAAATCAGATAAGTATTCTAAATACAACATTTTACCTTTCAGAGATTCATTAACGCTTGCAGTACTCCACTTAAGAGAGAAAGGAGTATTACAGTCATTAAAGAAAAAGTGGTGGGATGAGAGGTCAGAGTGTGGCAAACCATCAGCTGCTTTGGTAAGCATTTAATAATAGAAACGTTATATTTAGAACGAATAATACGATGAAACTCGAATCCCTCTATAGTTCATGTAATATAAGATAATTAACTTTAAACGTACAAAAAGAGGTTTTTTCAATCTTTTGGCGTAAACAATATCACAATTTTCAAATGTTTGGGCAACTGTTATACCAAATTATTTGGAGAAGAAGGATTAACTTTGAATGTAAACTAACCTTAAACATATGAATATTTGCAGCCTAGATTGTTTGTTTTTGTGACTTTTTTGTATCGCCAATGAAGATTTCACAAACATCATTAAGAATACTCGTTAAAAAAACATCATCATACCAAACATGGGAAATATTTTTTTGGCAAAAACACACCATGCACCTAGTTCCGACACAACAAATCCCTTCAGAAGTTGAGTAAATAACCAAACGTGCAATTAAAATGATTAGAAAAAATGTATGTTGTCTATTGTAGTTTATTGCTTTGTTGGATAAATAAAACAATCATTTTAACTTAAAAAGCTATCATGGAGTTAGGTTATTGTATGACTACGTATTTGTACATCCGATTTCTCTTTAAAATAGTTACACTTGTACAATGCTTATTTTTCCATTCCTGGAACAATTACAACGACAGCGAGGATTAACAAAATTACCGAATGGTAAATTAAAAAAATAAAGTCCATAGATATAAAAAAATTAAACTATAGACTTTATCAACCAAAGAAAGTAATGGGAATATAGATTCCACCACTTCAACAAGTGTGTTACGATATTTTCCACTCGAGACTGTTAAATTTTGATATTCAAAGCGCGAGGTTTGTCGAGCTTTTTAAATAATTAAAATTTAACTGTTGAGAGTGGAGAAATACCGTAATACACGAGTTATAGTAGTGGAATCTGCTTCTTTAATAATTTTGTCCTTCCTTTTCAAAGATTTGCAGAAAGTTGTGTTCTTTTTATGTGACGTCATCAGACATGGTCGCCTTTATTAATGATGTCCCAATAGGGCATTCAGAAGAAACCAAGAAAATTTGACGTCATAATTAAATGTCGACCAATCATTTGCCGGGAACAGATATTTCACTAGAGAGGAGAACATTTGTTTTTCACAATTGGTTGGGAAATGTGAAAATAGTGAAATAATTAGAGAAAACATTTGTCATACTTCTGACTTGGTACATGCATTTTCAGAACCTGGTTTTATAGTTAACTAAAATTACCAGTTGTATGCGATAATTTCGTTATAATGACAAAATGGTAAATGAAAATATTTGGTCTATGTAATCTGTCAAAAAGACAGCTAACACGTTTAATACGTCTGACACAAAACAACCTATTTAAGAAAAAGACCCTTTTTAAGTGCTCGTGGTTGTCGTTTGTTCACGTATATATCATGATCATTTGTTTTTCGATTGTGATTTTTACATAAATCAGGCCGTTGTTTTTTTTAATTCGAATTGCTTTACATTTTTTCATGTCAGGGTCTTCTATAGCTTGTTATGCGGTATTAGTTCTGCTCATTGTCGTATGCTGCACAGTAACATAAAGCTGCCTCATTTGGGGGATAGTTGTCTCATTGGCAATCATACCACATCTCCTTATTTTGTATTTATTCTATATTTCAAATATTTCTAACTGCATTTAAAAGGTATTCTTAACTTTTATAACTCAAAATAATGTATTTTTAATAATAACTTTTTAACACAAATACAATATACTTTGTATATTCAATTCAAGCTGATTTAAAGCGTTGGTATACTTTAACTGGGAATGACATCTGTTTGCTTGCATTTTTATAACATTCACATTGAAAACATGTTCACACTCGCAAAAATGAAATAAATGCGAATCCAGCTGGACATTACTTCCTACTGTGATTAAGCGATATTCTCATCAGTCAAATTGATAACAGTAATAAGTGTGACAGTTATGCCAAAGACACTATTGTGTTTGACAGAAAAGGAAGAAAATATTGTTTGTTAGTACGAAATTTTTGCTGTAAAACCGAAACAGAATACGTACACAGGTATCAATTCAGTATCGTTTTACGGTTGTTTCGTCAGCATGATATTTTATAGTAAATTGTAACACAATCGGATCTATGTTGTCTATTTTGCCCATTACATTGCCTATTAAATGATTTTTATCAAACTTTTGCCATATGCTTAATAATTGAATATGAGTGACTCATAATGAAAGCCGATATTCTGATAACTAATATTTTTTTGACAGGATGGCAGCGAAGCAGAGTTGAAACTAAATAACGTAGCTGGTATTTTCTACATTTTGATTGGGGGTTTAAGCCTGTCGGTAATCATAGCTGGATTTGAATTCCTGTATAGGTCTATCGTGGATTCCAGAAAATCAGAGGTAAACTTTAAGTTTAATGTAGAAACATAACACTTATGATATCTTGAATAAATGTTTAAAAGCTGGCAAAATGTCGTTAATGAAAAATGATGAACGTTCTAAATCATCTAGATACCAAGAATTGTCGTTCTTCCGAAATGTCTGATTAGTGTGAACACTTAAAACACCATTAACTAAAATTGTAGTAGTAAACGGACAACATTGCAGGGCAGACTAATACATACGGTACACATACGGTTAGGTTCATTCTTTAATCTTCATCACACACAGAGTAACACATTTTCAATAACACTAACAAAGAAGAGAAATTATGTTTGTGTGTGTGTTTTATACAACCCTTCACGTAATTATTCCATTGTCCAAAATTATGTAAAATGTTTGATGTAACATAGTGTCGATACCTCTTTAACACAATTATTTATTTATTTGCAGCAAGGGTTTGGTACTATTGTCAGAAACAAAGCTCGTCTATCTTTCCGAGGATCTATGGATTCGGGTAATCCAGAATCAACAACTCCTTTGAAAAAATCTGGATCGTCAGGAACTGTAAGTATTTTTGATGTAACACTAGAATATGCCAGTTATACTTTCCTTTTAAAGCTCTTGATACTGCATCTCCCGTTTCAGGGTGTTCGTGCTGTTCAAGTATTAGTTTTTATCTTTTTAATTTGCTCACATGATGCCTTTGCAGAGTCAGGCTACCTTGACCATGTATTGTTCAGTGTTGTTTTTTTTTAGTTTGCAAGTTTGTATTCTAAGGAGTCAGGTGTTGTTAGATGATGACGTTTGTTATACTGTTCACTATTTTCATCGATTCTCTGTTTATGTATAATATATATCTAAAGAATACTCAACTGTCGGTCATCAGTATCTTTTATTTGCTCTGTACTTTACTTTCTATACTTTTCTTTTTCTTTTTACTTCACTTTGACTGTTTTGGGTTTGAGGCAGTTTGCATTTTTAAATATTGTTGCAAACGCATCTATGATAATGTATATAAAATAAGAATATGTGGTACGATTGTCAATGAGATTACTCTCCAGCACAGACCAAATGACGTAAAAGTTGACAACTATGGGTCAGCATACGGCCTTCAACAATGAGCAATCCCCATAACGCACAGCAAGCTATAAAAGGTCCCCTTCCCCCGAAAATGACAAATGTAAAACAATTCAAATGAGAAAACTAATGACCTGATTAATGTACAAAATAACAAAAGAGAAACAAATATGATATACAGCAACACATATTATGCCAATTTTAACTTTCTACATCAAATAAGCTTCAAACCTTTGGTATAGTTCAGTCCTTCTAGTTAAAACAATAAACGTATGATAACGCTTTTATCTAAAACATACGTGCGGTTTTGTATAACCTTCATCATGTACAGTATAGGTTGATCCCAAAAGATAAGAAGACTAACTACATAATTATAAATTTGCAACGTTAGAATCAAACCAACAAATAGACAGAAGCAAAACAACAAACAACTATTTTAAACATTGCCTGTTATATTTCCAACACCTATACATAGTCTTGAATTGAAAATGAAAATACATGTATTTGACATGTCATGATGGGTAGGATGTTCATCATGTCGATATCCCAGTTGCATTCCGTAATTCAAGTAATACGGACTGTTCAGCGTTACAAATGCATGCTACAAGATATAGATACCGAGAGCGTGCAATTTCAAAATGAAACTTTGTAACGTTGTTATATGTGTACACTTTCATGCGTTGCTGTATTCACGTTTGACAGGTTATGAAAAAAACCATGCCTGTATGAATCAAGAAGCAAACAATTAACAACAAACATAATTAAAGTCAACATTGAAATATTGCATTTTTTTTTACAGTATACATATACAGGACCCACACAGCTTCCAGGATTTGACCCCTATGTTGATACAAACACACATACACAAGTATGACCCCAAGCTGAAGAATCAAACTGATGATTGTGATATTGAATTGTTTTTTTGTTTAATATATTTATGATATCCGAGTAGAAGATGTACAATCTCAACACATTTAAGTTGGTACTTACGTATCCTCATCAACAATTAAAATTTTAAATTTTAATATATTTAATTATATTTAATAGCAATGCAGTAATATGTGATTTAGAATTCGTTTACGATATCATAATGTAATCATAAGATTTTGATTGTGTTAAATGTATCATTTGTTTACCCTACAATATCAAAAATGTAAATTATTATTCAATATTAAATCGCACCACACAGAGAGAAAGAGAGATATAAAAACAATACTTAAAAGAAATATAATGTGAAAATCGACAAATCATGGTACATTAGACATTCATTCCTTTACTCCATTTACATGTTCGACTATATTTGTATACATATAGGTTGATTTATAGGTTACAATTGCAGTCATGATAGATAGAGTAAGAGGAGAATTTTGTAGACTCCCCGTTAGTCGTATATACATTCAATTTTAAACTGTATTTTGCACCTGTTGTTTTGTTGTTTTGTTGTTGCTAAAAGTGATGAATGCAAAACTTAACTTTTATATGTATGCAAATAATTCGAAGTACTATAACATGTATAATCAATAAGAAAACAGAAGTTGCAGAACTAACGACTGTTTTAAAAGCCAAAAATGAAGGTTATCAGATAGTGAAACAAACATGTTTAGCAAAGTTAACATTGAATGTTTTGGAGATTAATCTAAACATATCTATAATTTAACGTCTTAGTTGTCATAATAGTTATGTACTATTGTTATTCATTCGTTCTTGTTTATTTTTCCAACCAATAGTTTATCTTTTTAAAATATATTATATCCTGATTTAACAAAACCAACATTGAAATCATTATTCTTTTAAGACAATAATGGTAATAATTTTTTTTTCGAGTGTTTCCTTTTCGTTGTGTGTGTGTGTGTGTGTGTATGAAAAACTTTATGGTAACCTTAGTGTACACTAAATATATTTCTACGACAATCCTGCAACAAACAAGAATATAATCAAAATATTATAATTGATTAAAAACAATATTTAAATATTGGCTCATATAAAGCTCAAATAACATATTTAAGGAAGCATACTGCTGCCAGGGATAAAAAAAGTATTTTGATTTTGTAATAGGAAAGTAAAATAATTAGGAAATTTAAATACAAGAGATGCAGAATATAACTCAATGAGATATTAACCCAACAACCCAAAGAATCCAAGAACTAATCTTTTTAACTTTAAAAAAAAACCAACTGATACTCATGATCCATGGATTACCTGTTCAGCAATAATATTATTACTAGCATGCCTAGATGTAAATCAGTTTTTGTAGGGGAATGTATGTATTGTACACGTATTTACATGTTGCGCTTACTTAGATATACAATAACAAAAAGTACAATGGCTGACTAAAAATAAAGGAAATATGACATAGGCTTAGATCATTTAAATTTTTTTTGTGGCAGTCTTTCCAGATGTATCTTAAGCAATCTGAAATGCGAGAAGTAACTCTTTGATTAAGTTAAAGCTATCTTCTAAATTTGATATTTTGCAAATCCGGTGATGGACATTTCGACGTGAAATAACTTTTATGTTTACTTGAAACAAAATGTCAAAACAAAAAATAAACTGTGTTTTGTGACACTTTTTTGTGTACAAATGTATCTATGTATAAGAAATGTATGCACTTTAATTTGACACATATCTAATTGTTGTTACATTGTTTAGCTTAGACATTTGCAATGAATGTGATTGAAGGCAATTTAAGATTAAAAAAAACAATACCAAGGTCACCATACTTAAATCGTCTTCAGCATAGAAACAATACGACATTATCCCATTGGTATCTCCTCATCTTTTTCAACAAAATCCGACAATAATACAGCAAAAGGACTAAACATACACACACAATATATCATGATTGTTGTCTAAGTGATGTTATTGTGTGAAGTATAACCAATTGTTATATCCGTACTAAATAAGTGTACACACACACACACACACATATATATATATATATATATATATATATATATATAAGTACGTCTGAACCAGTGGCGACTTAGACGAATTATATATACATATATATATATATATATATACATTGTATATAAACATATATTGGATTGTATAGATTCTAACAGAAACACATCACCCTCTTTTAATTCAAAATGTATCCACACGTGACAAGTTTACCGAGCATTCAGAATTTGAAAATATACATATCGAAAGGGGTGCAAAATTGTAGTCAACAGAGTAATGTGGTTTCTCTAATAACTTAATGAAAAGTGCCAAGTGCAATATTCCAGCACGATTATACACGACACAAATTTGTTTAATCAAAGTGTGGTTTATCAACGTTCATCAAACTGGTTAAAACTGGATATTTGCCAACAGAATTAAGGAAATTGATTTTTACTGCTTCTAGATATCTGAACATAAATTGTTAGTGTAAATATCTCACCCTTATTCATTTATTCGCATACTAGTTCCTATCAGTCGTGTAGTCATTTTGTACAGACAGTGTAATATTTCGTGACATTCTACATACAAAAATATTATTCACTCATTTTTATTGGTGTTATTCAATTATTTAACATTACAATGTTTGCACTTATTATGATATGTATTTATAAAATGAAACGAAAACTATTGTGTAATTTGTAATTTGTTAAATGATGTCACAACCAGTTCATGAATATTCAAGTGCAAAGAAAACATTGCTATAGGAGGTAATTGTACTGTTTATGTCTTTCAATAAAATCGAAATAGTATAACATTATCAAATAACTTGTTTGTATGCCTCCAAAACGAAATGTCTAAGTCGTCCTGTTTTCCGTGTCAGTTCAATCTTTCTACACATATTATAAGTATGTATTTATCATACCAATACTCCATATTTTGAATTAGTTAATTAGTCCCAATACCTAGTCTTACACTGAAAAAAGTTAAAGCGGATTTGTTTTTCAGAATTAAATTTTAAAATACTTATGATTTGAATTTTTTCAGGATATTAGTCTAAATCAATTAAAAAGTGTAGAATTATCCTCCATGTATGTCATGAAACATGTGTAGTAAAACATATATCTTATATATACACAAAACTTTCAGAGCAAACAACTAAATAATGTTCCTTCAAATATAATTCAAAAAAATTTCAGCTGGCAAACATTTTTTATAATTAGTTCTTGCAGATTTCCTAACAAGGAATTTGATCGATAAATTTTAGCAGCACAATAATTTTAATCACTTTGGCGATAACATCATTTGTATAAAGAGTGAGAGAGATCTTAAGCATCTTATGAATAAACGCAAAATATATTTATATATATATATATATATCGGATTTACGTAAACATATAGCAATGAAACGAAAAGAAAGACGAAATTAAAGGTAAACGAACGAGCTTTACTGAACGACAACGTCTATACCAACGCATATAGTTCATAGACGATAGCATTGCTGACTCGACTCTAAGGACCATCAGCTAAACCAAGCGACAGTTAAAAAAGGAGGCAGAAGATATAAAGCGGACATTAAAAAAGGTCGAAGAAAAACTGACATTGCCATGGACGACAATAAGACGAACAAATCCAGAAAACACTAGGTATAAAGCTGGAGATTGAGCAAACCTCAACTCACAAACACTAGGGGTGAATTCAGGTGCTTCAAAAATAGCCATGCAATGTTCCTGAAGAAATGTGTAGACTGGATTGAAGTTATTAATATGGGCACTCTCTTCCCGGACGTCATTAAAGTATGGCAAGTATGGCAGTTAAAACTGTTCACCCTCTTTTTACTTAGTTCCCGATTTTTGGCAGTTTCAAATGCATATTGAGTTTGATATATTTAATAAGGACGTTTAACCAATTTTGGATACAAGATTTGTATCCATTTTTCATCTCTAAATATATCTCATTGAGAAAAGCTAATTAGACCTAATGAAGTTATAATTCAATTACAAACATAATGTTTCTGTGTTAAATATGTTTGCAGGTGCGCTAACCCTCCCCTAACATGGAACAGTTGTGAAACAGCACAACATAACAACAAACTATAAAAATGTGTATGAATACTTATGGTCCTACATCCTATATCGTATCTTATATTTTGGCATTGCACAAGGTAACGCGTTTATTAGATTCTTGATGAAGTCACTATTTCCGTTGGATGTGTGCTGATTGTCTTTAAGTCTGAAAGAACACTGTTTATTTATTAATTGCAATTTAGTGTTAAACTAGCATTAAGAAACTGCGGGAACTCACTATTTGTTTCTGTGCATATACGGATGGGATTAGTAAAGATCTTCAGATTTGTTGTTGAAATGCGCATCTGGGACAGAAAAAGTGGTACCTTTAATGTTATTACAGTTGCTTTTTACAGTTTGTTCTTGTGTTCTGTTGTTAAACCACTGTTAAAGTAAAGCCATGTTAAAAACGCCACATTCGTTTGGTGACTTACCAAAGCAAGGAACCTAAAAGTTTAATACACCAGTGGTTGTCGATCGTTGATCGCTTTTGACCTCATTTGTTGGTCGTTCATTGCTGTAGTATAGATTAAGCCGTTGGTTTCCTCTTTTGAATTGATTCACATTTGGTCATACCGGGGACCTTTGTTCAAGATTGAAAGTTGTCTCATATGTACTCATTTCTTTGTTTTCATAAAATTTTAGATTTGCTACCTAATCAGTTTTTCAAGAAAAATCGTCCCCGGAAACTGCAAAATATTAAACGTTTTGGAAAGATTTCGGTTTACTGCATTATAAACTGTACGGAAAACAGATTCATTTGTCAAAGAAAACAACACTGGCAAACAAATAAGTTAATAGCGACTTTAGACATTGCTCGTGTTGCGTAATCGGTTTTTTTTTGTTTGTTTTGTGTAGTGCTTTTTATACTGTAATTTGCCTGTTCGTTTTATTTCTTTTAGATAGTGCTGGCAAAGATTTTTAATTGCGAGTTTTATTTCCCTTTGTTTTGTTTTGGTTGAGTATTAAAAATCAAAATTCTGATCAAATTGCAGATTCTTGCAATCTTTTCAGGAGTAAATTATTGACTCTTGGCTATTTTTTTTTATTGTGTGACAAGACAAACTTCGTAATATTCAACGGACCGATGACGCAAATATAATAACATTCAGATTAAATTGTTCCTTTACGACATCCTTTTTATACCTAGGGTAAGCACGGCAATATAAACTGTTTATAAAACATTTTTTTTTTTATCTCAGTCGACCTTCACGGTCAATTTCAAAGTAACTATCACATACGCCTGATGATGCAACCCATTATACAAGTCCTTTCTAGGTTTATAGTTTATTTAAATGAATTTCAGCTTCCCGATTATGAACTTTCCATTTATATGTAGCAACATTTAAGCAGCGCCTGTATACCATAATTTCCTTGATAGAAGGTTACTGCTCACAAGGAAGCTATTAAACCAAGAGTTCCAAGTGGTGAAGTTGAAATCATCCCTTCGTAAATTTTATGAACGCCATCACGAATTGGTTGACCGTTATGGAATATCCGTTTCACAGATGAAAGCGGATATGTTCCAAATGTCGTAACAACAAACCCGTCCCCTTTTCCCCGAATGTGACCTACCGAATTAGACTTATTAACGGATTTGTACTAACATGAGCAACACGACTGGTGCCACATGTGGAGCCGGATCTGCTTATCCTTCCGGAGCACCTGAGATCACCCCATGTTTTGGTGGGATTCGTGTTGTTCAATCTTTAGTTTTCTGTGTTGTGTTTTGTGTGCTGTTGTTTGTCTGTTTGTCTTTTTCTTTTTTGGCCATGAAGTTGTCAGTTTGTTTTCGACTTGTGAGTTTGAATGTCACTTTGGTATCTTTTGCCTCTCTTTTATCATTAAGATTTACATTTCTGAACATGTTATATGTATTTATATATATTTAACATTTCAATATGCATGTCTCACACCATTTTGTCAATATGGAACTTAAAACAACTGTCATACAAGTGGAAGGTTTAGACAATTATGAAACCAGGTTTAACGAATTATTTCTTCGGAAAATTCCTGTATCAAGTCAGGAATATGACAATTGTTTGCCATTCGTTTCGTTGGTTGATATAGTAGAGCATTTGGTAATGTCAGGTTTTATGGACTGTCTTGTCTTGAATCTTCCATATAGTTCTGTATTTTTGTTAATAGTATTTTTGCATATTTTGTTTTTATTTGTACATAATTTTTTGTTCGTTTGGGGTCATGTTCTGGTTTGTCGCAAGCAGTGAAGCAATTCGATCACATCTGAGGGTACCACTATGGCAAAATTACTGCTAGTATGCACTTTGGGGGTTTAACATCGTTATATACATTATTGCACCATTTATCACATGTGATATCCGAATTGGGACAGCTTATTCATTTTTCAATTACATGAATGGTGGTATATGCATATCAGGGGACACCATACCAGGTCTTTTCAAGTTTGAAGGTCTCATGAGTTCAACGGATTCCGTTAATTTTCACTCCTAAGTGTGTCTGTCTGTACATTCCTTGACATGCGTGCGTTGTTAATTTTGTCAGAAATTGATACATCATGTCCTTTTTTTCCCCGTTATATGACATTTTGATAGAAGAAAGGGTACACTGTTTCTTATATTTTTATTGGAACCAACAAAATTCTCAACAAACGTTATTTCATAAAATGATTATTTATAGTACAGTAAAAGAGTAAAATAACAAAAATACAAAACTACAAGGAAAATTTCAAAACGGAAAGTCCCTTATCAAATGGCAAAATCAAAAGCTCAAACCCATCATACGAATAGAAAACAACTGTCATATTCCTGACTTAGTACAGGCATTTCCTTATGTAGAAAATGTTAGATTCAACCTGGTTTTACAGCTAGCTTACCCTCTTACTTGTATGACAGTCGCATATAATTAACTGATGATGGTAAGTACCATTGTAAGAACAGAAAACGTTATCCTACATGTATGTGGACGTTGTGATGAATATTGTCGCTGACGTTTCTTCAATTATTACGTAACAAAATCACTTTCATTTTCTATGTTCGGTGGACCGTGAAATTGGGGTCAAATCTCTAATTTTGCATTAAAATTAGAAAGATCATATCATAGGAAACATGTGAACTAAGTTTCAAGTTGATTGAACTTCAACTTCATCAAAAAATACCTTGACAAAAACTTTAACCAACACTTTAACCCGAAGCGGGACAGACGGATGGACGAACGAACAGACGCACAGACCGAAAAACATAATGCTCCTAGGTGGGGCATAAAAATAGTTACTTTAATCCATGTCTTGGCATTCGTAGCATGTGTACTATTAATCGTTTTTAATGACATACTTCAAAACGAACTTATTTTCGCGGATACTTTATTTCGCGCTTAGCCCATTCTAGTCCACTTCACGGCGATTTAATTTCGCGATTTTTAAGTACATTTGATGTAGTAAAATAGGAAAGATCCAAGTTTTACGTATTCGCGGGGATTTATATTCGCGTTATATTTTCTCTAGCGAAAAACGCGAAAATAAATCGCTCGCGAAAATTAGTTGGTTTACAGTACACAGTTACAGTATTTTAATTCTATTTTGAGCCATACACCATGTACAATAAGAAATAGGATACCAAATTATCCTTATATGAACAATTCAGAAGAAAGTGAATAAGTACGTCAATATAAGGTTATATAAAAATGAAAAGACACATTCTCTAGTTAAGGCTTGGCCATGCAGGTCTCAAAAGATTTATTGCTGATTTTGTAAAGGTTTTAGTGGCTTTTTACACGTCCGTTAACACCATAGAAGTTAAGATGCCAAAAAAAAAAAACCCTCCTTTTATCTATTAAATTCTTCAAATGCAAAATATTATATGAAAGGATATGTAAAATTGTAATAACATAGGTTTAGATACGATAATACAATAACTTTTTATCCAGCTTTATCTTATTTTGTACCTGTTTCGTTTATCAAGTATCAATAATATATCTCTAGTGTTTAATAAATTTCCTGTTCAAGGTTCAAAGGTCGTGTATGTCATGTATAAAGCCAACAAGACAAATGCCCGCAAGCCTCAGGGAACAACAGTGTAACCGTACGGCTAATAGCCACTTAATCCAATCATGATCATTAAAAAGATTTTTCCCAAAAGAATAGCATTTATATGTACATAAATGTGAATATTCCATGCAAAAACATAAACATTAAAATGTCCTCAATCAACTGAACGTACTACGTCGTTGTCCCTGTGTTATCTTCTTGCTTTTCTTACTTTCATTGTGAATGCCCTTGCTCTAATCAAGTACTAGACACTAAACGGTTTGCATTGATTTTCAATGCACTGAAAATGTAAGCAAATATATAATGGTTGTGTATATATTGTACAATGCTAAAGTTATCGACGTAGAACCAAATGATGCAGATAAAAATGAAATTATAGGCAAAGACGATAAAAATGTAATGCTGATTATATCTAGGGTAAAGGAATTCATAGAACAAGATCGTCTACAACACGACAGACATTAACCATCAATACTTATTGATATTTTACACCCAAAAGTGATTTTCATAGAATTGTTGACTTAATGAGTTAATCTATAAGCTTGCCGATGTTGTCTCTTTGAGAAAATAAATGCGTAATACATGATGTCTATGCTTTTAGTATGAAAGCAATATTAACATCAATTTAAACTCCATCTTGAAGCATTCAGTTGTAAATACTGACTACTGACATGCGCAGGACAATTAATGGTTAGATACGATTTTTTGCTAATAAGGACATTTTGCAACATATGTATTTGGAAACTATTGTTTTGAAGATGAAGATATATTCGTTTGTTTCTTATCTTTATTTCATGTTTACAACGATTAATGGACAGGACTCAAGCAAGAGGCGTAAAATCGGTAAGTCAATTTCATTTCTCATTAGGACAATATAAGAAATTGGTTTATCTATATTCTAATCGCAAACAGCTGATTTTGAAGATTCCGTTTTTAATGGCCAATAATAGATTGCTATAATATATATAAAGATAAATATCATATCTAAGGATATTCAAAAATATTTACCATTTCATAAAAGATGTTATATGTATATGGGCATATACTTGATTTACATTGCGTTTTAAAGGATTATTAGGAAGTATAAGGCATTACACATGTTGACCGGTGTTTCAGTTGGTGAAAGTAAATGCATTTAAAAACAACTTATTGGTCCTATGACAAAACATATTCGTAAAGGTTACCGATTTCACACAGTAGTAAAATCTTTCAATATTGTTTTTATTAATAGTATTAAGTTATTGATTATGTTTTTCAAAATTAAAACATAACTAAATATATATTGCTATATATGTACAGTTATGAAAATTCATAATTCTACAATATGTCGATACTGTTTACTTATATTTTGGCATTGAACAAGGTCATGCGTTTCTCAGACTGTTTTTGGCGTCTTTACACTAAATCCGTTGGATGTGTACTGATTGATAGTTAAGACATGGAGAACATGATTTATTTATTAGTTATGATTGGTTTTGAACTAGCTTTTAGTAACTGCACGTACTCTTATTTCGTTGTCTGTTTCTATTGTTTTATGTTAGTTATTTTTGTTACTCGTACCGATCTTTTGAGGTGAGCCAATTGCTACTGATTTTTACAGTTTGTTCTTATAATGTGCTGTTATACCAATTCCAAGGTTAGGGGAGAGTTGAGCGCTCACAAAGATGTTTAACCTCGCCACATTCTTTGTGTGCCTGTTCAAAGTCACGAGCCTGTAGTTCAGTGGTTGTCGTTAGTTCATGTCTGTCATAATTGTTTTGTCATAAACTAGGTTGTTAGTTTTCTCGTTTCAATTATTTCACATTTTTCATGTCGGAGCATATTTATAACTGACTATACGGTATGTTTTATTTTTCTAATTTTGAAGGCCGTACGATTGCTTTTAATTGCTTACATTCATTTATTTGAACTCTGGTGGATAGTTGTCATATTGGCAATCACATCACATCTCATTACTTTTATATTAACAATTTATTATATAAAAAGATATCATTCTAGCCCGACACGGTGTCGTCTGATACGGCAGGTGCCCCATCATCACCATGACACATGACAAATATCCCAAATATGACACATTCAGATCATCATACTAATAACAACAGCAATAATCTTCGTACGTGGCCGTTGTTCAGTTCTTTTACAAGACATTTTGGATTTTAATGACTCTGAACAAAACTGTCTCATTTCGAAATGTGAAACCAAAAACTACAAAAATTTCAATTCAGTAGCATTTTAACTAAGACATTTTATTTTACCAGAAGCTACGATGATCTAAATTGTAAATCAATAAATCTCGTCTACAGTTTAGAGTGTAACCTTTGCGGATTGGTATATGTCGGTGAAATGAAAGGAAGGCTAAATAAACATATTTGCGGCCATAGATCAGACATCAACAACAATGCAAGCGATATTATTTACCAGCATTTCAATCACTCTGATTATTCTTTCCGTTCTATGCAAGTTCGCATCATCGAAAAAAGTATACAACAGGACTGACAATCCTCATATTGCATCACCTCTCCGTAGACAAAAAGAAGACTACCGAATTCGACAATTAGAACCTGCGATACAATATGGTTTCACTGACAAAATTGATGGTAAAGGTATTCTATCTAGTCCTTCCTGTAGCTCGGTGAATGTGATGAACATTTTCAACTGTACTCCTCGACGTAGACGCAGTCATGGTCATCATCATTATACATCACCTACTCTCCATGATGTTTCCATTAATGACCTGCTGCCATTTAAACAAAAGCTGATTGGTATTCATCAAATTCACAGGAAGTTTAATTCATTACCCCTTTCAAAATTCCATTCTTGGTACAACTGATGTTTGGAAACCACTGTTACAAACCCATATTCAAACCAGTACAAACTTACAGCCATCATCTCGGATATTGCAAGTCACAGACTTTTCAAACTAGTTTGCATTGGAAAGATAGAAAGGAGAAAAGATCCTTTCTAAAACTTTCCTTTGCCAACAAAGATCTCGATGCCATCAACTTTGGCGGTATCCTTCATCATAAATCAGTTCAATCGAAAATACCTCCCCATTTTAAAGATCAGTCTGTACCTATCATTTCTTATACCTATAACATTGTCAATAACACTTCTCTGCGAAATGTGTTATCCAAAGTCCCGAGATATCGTGAGCCTACACAGAAAAAAAAATTACTAAGTAATTATATTTTACTTAAATTAAGTATTCCTTTTTATTACTTATTACTAGGAATTACTTACCAATTACTCACAATTATTAGCAATTACTTATATTTTACTAGATATGAACAAAGTTACTTAAACCAAGTAATTGTTTTACTGAAAATGTGTGTGTATTAAAAAAAATACTAAAATAAAATAAAATACTTCTAATAATTTTACTCACTTGAGTTAATAAATTACTTAGTCCTTATTTAAGTAATAACTTACTGTTTTAAGTAAAAAGAAATTACTTGAATTTAGTAAAATATTTAAAGAACTACACATTTTTATTGTTTCTTACTAAAATGCTGTATGAAAGTTACTGGAATTACTTCTGATAACTTGGAAATAAAACTTCTTATTATTAAGTAGGCTTAGGCACTACATATTTAATGTCGTTTACTTGCATAAGGTTAGTTAATTTTTAATAATAAATGCTTCCTATGAAATTTGACATCATAATTTTACAATTTCAACATATGCAGTTTTCACAGTCGTACATAAGTAGTTTGTGATTTGAGACTAAAAAATATTCAGCCAATCAGAATTAAGCTTTCATTTTACTTCGGTAAGCTATTTTTGAAAACTGGCTGGAACTCATTCAAATTTGAATTTGAACAAAAAGTATACTGAGTTTGTTGAAATACTTGCACGATTGACAAGCATGAAAGGAAAGGAGAAATTTACAAAAAGGACACTTTGTGTGGTTATTCATGTTTCTGGCTACTCTTTGTGTACCATTTCAATTAAATGAAAATGTAGCACAAAGAGTTGCTGGGGAGGTAGCCCATGTTAACTTACAACAAACAAGAATAGAAATGGATTAAAACAAAGGATATAGTATATGATCATTCTTTGAAAGGTATGTTACTTTTTGAAATTATATGCATTTATAATAAAACAGTGTAGAATTTTTATTCTTATCTGTATATATGTACAATGTATATGTAAAAGAATTACTCAAAACCTACAAATAAATTTACTGATTCAAGTAATAGTTTTTCCAGAAATACTTCCCATGAAGAAAAGAATGGCTTACAAGTGATAAAAGAATTACTTAGAACATTAAAAGAAATACTTACTATTATTAATAGAAATACTTAATGTGTTTTCAAAGAATTACTTACTATAATTAAAAGAAATACTTAATGTGTATTAAAAGAATTACTTACTATAATAAAAAGAAATACTAAATTTGTATTAAAAGAATTACTTACTTTTATTAAAAGAAATACTTAATGTGAATTAAAAGAATTACTTACTATAATATAAGAAATACTTAATGTGTACTAAAAGAATTACTTAAGATACATTGAAAAACTCCTTGCATTTAATTACTAGCTAATTACTTATAATTACTTGGAATTACTAGTAATTACTCATTTTTTGACAAACCTTTTTACTTGCTTTTTTACTTGATTTGAGTAAAAACAATACTTGTTTTAAGTAAAATCTAGTTAATTTTTTTTTAGTGTATAAATTCACCAATTGGAATTATAACTTCGAAATACTGATGGATTCAGTCGTGGATTATACCAGACAATGGGTTAAACGCGAGAGAAAAGAAGTAGATACTCTTTCTGAATTGAGTAAGGCTGTGAGGTCGTTGATACAAATCAGAATTAAAAAACTGAATGAGTCTATGAATATCTATGCTACATCAATATGTAGAGACCAAAATGTTGCAAAACATCTGTCCTACCTGCATGACAAATATGTTGTTGTCTCCGCAGATAAAACCCAAAACAACATCGTTTTGTTGTGTAAATCACATTACATAAACTGCTCGATAAATGAATTAGGTATTGACAATTCACTTCGAAACTCAACATATACCCCCACGACCTTACCTAGGAGGAAATCCTAGATAATAGTAGGTCTGTTCTATGTTCCTTAGGAATGTCAACCAAAGATGAAGAACTGGCTCTTCTCTCACTGTATTGGATACATAAACTACATAAGAGTCCTTACAAGCAACGTTATATTACTGGGTCTTCCAAGTGCTCCACGAAACCTCTTTCTAAATTATAAGCATCTATTTTATCAGCAATCAAAGAGAGGCTTCAAAGTTATTGTGAAACTACCTATTCTAGAGGTGGCGTGAATCATATGTGGATACTGAAAAATACAAACGATCTTATAGAGTACAAATAATCTAAGACTCTTTCATCTTGCAATAGTATTAAAACATTTGACTTTTCTACACTTTACACAAGTATTTCAAATTTTCCAAACCAAAAGAGAAATTGAAAGAGTTGGTTCTGCTTTGTTTCATAGAAAAGAATGACCTACGTAGATACAAGTTTCATGTCTTAGGGAGGGATACATTGTACTTTGTAAGAAATCACTGTAATTCAAACAAAAAATTCTCTGAAACTGGCATTATCAAGATGCTTGATTGACAACATATTTGTTACGTTTGGAGGACGTGGTTTAATAAGAAATCGGTATTTCCATGGGGAACCAACTGTCTTCCTCTTCTTTCCGACTTGTTCCTTTATTCATTTTAGGCTGAATTCATACAGGAACTTCGTAGGAAGAAAGAAAAGAAGTTAGCAGTATCATTTTACTTCACTTTCCGCTATATACATGTAGATGATGTTCTCTCGCTAAATTATCCAAAAGTTTTTGAATATGTTGAACGCATCTATCCCATTGAACTGGAGATAAAGGATACAATAGATACAGTTAAGTCTGTCTCATATCTTGACTTACATCTAGCAATTGACAATGATAGTCGGTAGAAAACAAAACTTTACGACAAAAGAGATGATTTCAGCTTCCCAATTGTGAACTCTCCGTTTCTATGTAGCAACATTCCAGCAGCGCCTGCATACGGAGTATATATATCCCTGTTGATACGATATTGCATTGCTTGTATTTCCTATCATTATTTCCTTGATAAAGGGTTGCTGCTCGCAAGGAAGCTATTAAACCAAGAGTTTCAAGTGGTGAAGTTGAAATCGTCTCTTCGTAAAGAAGTAGGCCCGGTAAAACTCCTTTTTGGCCCCGAAAAAATAGCATTTTAAATTTTGGTAAAAAATGTAAACTTTTAGCTATTAATTGGAAAATGAAATACTTCTGTTACATACATATGGAATGCTTTTGACAATACAATGCCCATGCATCAGGTACTAGCATCATTAAGTCATGCGAAATTACTTAAGACTTACTAATTTTAGCATTTGCCCTACATTTAACGGTTTTTGTCTAAAATGGAAGTGGCCGCATTTGTGTTCAGTCTTATATATATATGTTGTATTTGATGATTATAGATAACATATACATTGGTGTGACGAACAATTTATATTTCGTTTGTATCGTCCTGGTGTGCTGTTGTGGATTCCCGGAGGTGTCCGTTGTTATTCTGTGGTTTACATGATGTAATGTACTATTATATTATTTATTTATGTGTTTTTCTGTCCTGAGTATTCTTGCGTTTACTTGTACTGTATTCCGGTCACGTAATGTTGTTATTTTAGCGGTATTTTTAACATTGCCATATAAGCGAGAGGTTTGGGTAGCCATAAAACCAGGTTCAACCCACCATTTTTTTTCTTAAAATGTCCTGCACAAAGACAGGAATATGGCTGTTGTTATCAAATAGTCTGTTTCTATGTATGTTGGCGTTTGTTTTTGTAGCAGTTCGGTTTTTCTGTTGTTCCGTTGTTTTCCTTTTATAGTTGATGTGTTTCCCTCGGTTTTGGTTTGTGACCCGGATTTGTTTTCGCTTAATCGATTTATGACTTTTGAACAGCAGTATACTACTGTTGCCTTTATATAAAGGTTGAGACTGAAAACGAATGCGGCCACTCCCATTTTAGACCAAAAAACAAACATCTGAAAAGTGACGTTTTGTGTCATATTTGATAGATTTTTCATATTTAAGCTTGAATTTGAGCGTCTTTAATGACCAAATCAGTTCAAATCTTTTACATAAACTAATTAAATCGACTAAAGTAGACACGCAAGTGTTTAAAAAATGTCTAAAATCTTTTATCCGATGTACATTAAATTTTAGGCTAAAATTAGCCCTTACAGGACCTTCTCCTTTACGGAAACCATCACGAGTTGGTTAACTGTTATGGAACATCCGTGTCACAGATGGCAACGGATATGTTCCAATTGTCGTAACTAAAATCCCATCCCCCTTTCCCCGAATGTGACCGACCGAATTAGACTTATAACCGGGTTTGTACTAACATGAACAATACGACGGGTGCCACATTGTGGAACAGAATCTGCTTACCATTCCGGAGCACCTGAGATCACCCCAAGTTTTTGGTGGGGTTCGTGTTGCTCAGTCTTTAGTTTTCTATGTTGTGTTTGGTGTACTGTTGTTTGTGTGTCTTTTTCTTTTTTAGACATGGCGTTTTCAGTTTATTTTCGTCTTATGAGTTTTAACGTCCCTCTGGTATCCTTTGCCTCTCTTTCAAAGATGTGTTTTGGAGATTAAACACACAACACAAAATGAACATTATTCATTCCACATTTGAATGTTGGTATGCTCACTAGCCAAAAGAGCTCATTCCTAAAGTACAGTCAACCTCTCCACATGGTCTGACTTTGAAATATAAATATATAAGAACAGTTTCCTTTCTTGATAAATAGCCCTTGCTAAGTTAACAGAGTGATACTTCAGTATTCGCTTAGTAACACGAATCCCTTGTTCTGTTTTGATACAATACTGTCATTTAACTGTGATTACCATATGTTTTTTAAACAAAGCTTACATACTGTGAAAGTACTTTTCTTCGTGGGTATCAATTTTCGTGGTTTGAGCAAGTTACATGTTCGTGGGTTCTTAAATTCATGGAAAAAAAATCGAGTTAAAAAATTGAAGCTATCAGAATCGAAAATTTTTGAAAATAATCCTAAGTTGTTTTAAAATGATTTGTGGACATTGCAAAATAAGGTGATAATTTTCACTTACATGTTCGTCTTTCATAACTAACAACATTCAACTGTTACATATATTTTAAATAATAATAATTTTCGGAAATAATCTGATTTATATTTGCTTACAAATTGTCTCGATTGAAGGAAATTGCAAAGTAAACATTTTAATTGTTGAACATGTGTAATCAGAAGTGATGACACTAATTAACCCGAGATCGAATGATCAACAGATTAACGATCATCAAAGGTGTTAATTGAGCCATAAACATGTCGCTTAAAGAAAACGGTTACATAAACAAATGCTATAAATGTACAAAGTACTTTGAATTGTAGAATAATTTCTTATGAAAAACCCAATATGACTTTTTTGTTTTTTCGTATGAGAATTATGAGGAGACAAAATGAAAACTTCATCATCGCATATCATCACCGGACATCTAAATTTCATTGATCAAAACTAGTTTTTTCATGAGAATTAAAAGGTTAAACGTCGTACAGATTATGTTTGTAAACGATAAAATGGGAAAAAATGCTGCCTGAAGTTGTATATATAGTTCATAGTGCGTTTGCTGATATTCGATGTAACCTCTAGATTATATGCCCGTATCATGCAGTCAAACTAAATGGTGATTTGTTCCATGTCTTGATTTGGACAACAGTTGTTATATTTCGTTGGACACTTGAATTCGGGGATAAAGCCATCCTCGAAAACCACGAACATTGGTACCACACGAATAAAAGTACTTTCACAGTATCGGATAAAGTGAGTACATCCGTGGTCGAGTGGTCTAAGTAGTTCGTCTACACTTAATTAAAACCAAAAAAGTAGTTCATCTACAGTGAATGAAAACAAAATAAGTAGTTTGTCTATAGACATTACTTACCTGTCATCTTCCTAATTGACAAAGAGGGCAGATACAAGATATTTTACTTACCCTATCAGTTTGAAAGAATAACCTATAATATATTAAATATCCTTTCAGGTGCTATATTTGACCACAGATCAAGACATTTAGCAAAGACATTTGAGTTAGAAGTAGGTCGTCTATCAACCATGGACAAAGATATCACACTGGAACAGATTCATGAGATTGTAGATTGCCAAGATAGTTATTACGTTACAAATGCAAGTACGTATACCTCATCAAAACTTGAAGGTTTTATTTTATATGTAGGAGAGTAAGGTTGTAGGTGAGTCGTTTGCAGTCCATTCTTTTAACAAAATAACTAATTTTGATCCATGAATGCAATTTAGATTTCTAATTATAATGAAAACAATTTATATTTGTTGTAAATACCAAAAAATACAAATCAATACGTAAAATCACCAATTTAGAAACATAACCCCCACAAAATGCAGGGTTGCCCAATGAAGTTTTTTTTAAATAGTACCATCAATTGGCGTCTACCTAGTCCTTCGTTCGACGTTGCGACGAATCTACTAGACAAATTCGAATCAACCACAATATGATTGATTCTAAGGATGTCATCATTAAGATTTCTCAATAATACACATGGAAAAAAGTATCGTACCACTTTGTATAAATGACTAGTAATAGTTCCCCGAAATGATTTAGCATTTAAAAAATATATAGGCTAATGTTTACCTTTGTTAATAGCATACCTGTGTCCCATCGATTTTTGTCTACTTTAAGAATTATAACTAACACGTGTATTATTGTATTCTCAAAAAGAAGAAAACTAACCATTGTTACCACATTTGCAGTTTATTATAACTTATACAGTTTTACGATTAAAGTTACGAAATTAAAGTCATGGGTCCACCGCAATTCTCAAATAAGAAAAGATGGCAAATTATAGATAGGTTTCGATAGGACGAAATCATTTCCCTTGGCCGCCATTTTGGAGGGGTTAAAGGTTGCTTTTTCAATTTGACTAACCAATTTGAAACATTTGGTATCAATAAGTCTGAATTTGGCTGATTTTTTAAGGAATGGATGCACTTATATATTCTCAAATGCGAATAAAGGGAAATAACTCTTGCTCAAAGTGGGTCAATCGCAACCTATCTATATGGATGAGAAATGCTGGTATGTTACCTAGACAGATTGCCAGGTAGATAGGGCATCATCACACAACCATCAGTCGTCTTGAACAAAAGCATCATCTCACAAATGCTGTTAAAGACAATCAAAGGAATGAGAGACCCCAAACACATCTGCTTGAGAAGATATTGATTTAGGAAGACTGATAAAACGAGACCCGTACTTTGTAAAAAAGTCTTTGGTTGCGCCGCCGTGCACTGTCTATCAAAACCCTGAAAGATGCTTGATATCGATATAGAAGACCATTATAGAGGAGGTTGCTTACAAACAGACACAGGGCCACAAGTGTAGCATAGTACCCAACCTGACGTCATGGAGAAGAGCACACTGGTCTGACGAGAGCCTTTTCGTGTTGCATGTCATAGATGGGCGAGTTCGTGTATGGCAATAACCAAATACAGCAATTGCAGAAAAGACGATATGGGAGTGCGTGTCATATGATTGCAAGCTTCACGGTATTAGGAAACCTTAACGGTCAAATATACCATAGAGAAATCCTGAACAAAGCATTTCAATAACCATCATCTGCAGACATGACCAATATTCACGAATGACAACGGCAGACCTCATCGTGACTGCATGTGGAGAGTTCGCCAACTACACAACTTCCACGATGCAAAAATTAAACGTTTGATCCAAGGAATGAGAGGCCGGGTAGCATCGGTGATTCGTGCGAACCGTGGTTACACTCGACATTGAATACTATCATTACGAACCGTGCGTCTATTGTTAAAAGTTATGATCCAGTCATCATTAATGAGTTTTTACACCACCTTTTATCTTGAAAATTATTAGATCAACAGAAAATGTCATTTCAAAATGATTTTCAATACAAGATATGCACAAATGTTAGTTAATGAAACTTTCCGTTGTGTTATAAGTTTGAACGGAGACTTTTGTTCAGTTTGTTATCATGTTGTGACTATATTTTCTATTTTAAAAACTTATATAGATTCCTTATTCAATAAGATGTGATTGAATATTTGAGGAAACTGCCTTTTACATGTAAATATTGTCTAATTTGATAGTTCCTTTCTTTGTTACCTATTTCAAAACTTGATAAACAAACGACCATTAAAATATGAAAATCCTTCCCCATCTAGCGTACAAATGTATCTTAAATATGTTTTATAGACACACTGAAACAGCCTTTTTGAATAAAACTTTGAGTTGACTCCTAATAGGAGTTATTGACCTTAACTGATTTCTTTGGACAGTTTTAGCGTTTTTCTGGTTTCTATCTATTATTCTGAACAGAATTATAATTATGTAGATATAAGAAGATGTCGTATGAGTGCCAATGAGACAACTCTCCATCCAAGTCAAAATTTATAAAAGTAAACCATTATAGGTCACAGTACGGTCTTCAACACGGAGCCTTGGCTCACACCGAACAGTAAGCTATAAAGTGCCCCAAAAAATTACTAGTGTAAAACCATTCAAACGGGAAGACCAACGGTCTAATCTATATAAAAAACGAGAAACACTTATGAACCACATCAACAAACGACAACTACTGAACATCAGATTCCTGACTTAGGACAGGTGCAAACAAATGCAGCGGGTTTAAACGTTTTAATGGTACCAAACCTTCACCCTTTTTTCTGAAACAATAGTGTAAAATCACAACATAGAAAGACACACTATAAAATATCAACTCAAATAGCTTAACTCAATCAAAGGACATATTAACACCATTGAACATACACTGAACAAATAAATTTGACCTATGACACAATGTAAATACAAAATAAATAAACTAAGGGAAGAATAATAAAAGTAACATGTTATATCGGTAAGAAATGTTAAATAATTAAAGAAAAACAATATGCTCGAACAAAAATACCATCCATTTGCAATAACTTTAAACACAGGTAAATGAAAATAATTGTGTTGTTAGGTATACGTGTACAGTACCAATAGAGAAAGGAAATATTTTTACAAAATAAATAATTATGATGTTCATAGTACGAAGTGAAAATTTATAGTTATACCAAACACTTATCAAAGCTGATATATAGACCAGATATAACCCTGAATAACATTAATTAACAAAAAAGCAATAAAATTAGTATCAACAGGTCAAATAAACAAGAAAGTACGATTTGAGAGTACTCGCAGTTACTGACAGCTAGTTAAAAGCCAAAACAATTAATAATAAAAAATCATGCATCAGAGACTAAAATCAACTAAAACACATCCCAGGGATTTAGTATTTAAACGTCATGGACAGTCAAAGAAGACATGACTAGTGCAATGCCAAAAATAAATGTATTGACAGACAGTAGGATAGTTAGGAGTTTAACCTCTTTATAGATCTAAACGAACGTTAGTGTGTCTTTATACATCACACTTGAAAAAAATACAAATTTAGTTATGTTTTAATTTGCTGATGACAAAATCGATATTAGTGCCAATGTAAACTATATTCAAAGATCTAATTACAACATTGGTAAGATAACCTTTACTAATAAGTTTGTTTAAAGGTTCGATGAATTTGTAAAGATAGATAGAAAATTTTAAATATGACCAGTTTAAGAGTTTTTCTGGTTTCTACCTATTATTTTGAATACTAATATAATTATGTATTTGTAAAGATAGATAGAAAATTTTAAAATGACCAGTTTAAGAGTTTTCATGGTTTTTACCTATTATTTTGCACACTGTAATATAGAGTTGTTGACCTTAACTTATGTCTTCGGACAGTTTTAGTGTTTTTTCTGGTTTCTATCTATTATTTTGAACATTAATACAATTATGTATATGTAAAGATAGATAGAAAATTTTTAAAATGACAAGTTTAAGAGTATTCCTGGTTTCTACCTATTATTTTGCACACTGTAATATAGATAGATAGAAAATTTGAAAATCAAAACTAATTTGAATACATAATCTACAAAAAATAATAAATGACTAAAACAACCAATGCAGTATCCACTTGTAGATGTTGTTCCCGTTTTGCATTATTTTTGACACTTATAATATTACAAACAGCACTCAATTTTGAAAGTTATGGCCAATACAAAATCAACATAAAGTGCCAATATGACCCCTGCATGTTATCTTGAAAACTGTGTACATTTTATGGATAGACAGATCTAGACATAACCTAAGTCTAAACAATAAAATATTATCAATAATTCAAAATCTATAAATCTGTTTTTACGATGGAAACCATACATTGATTAACTTGTTGGTGTTAAAGCACTTTCATAACACTTTGTGACCATTACAGCGTTTTGCTCGTTAAAACTATAAAATTATAGATAGACAGAAACTGTAAACAGCACCAATAACCGTCCATGCACGATATACAAATAGTTAATTTGACTGAAACTGTCGATAATCATTTTTAATTTGAGTTTTTAACCTAAGATGTATAAATGTTTACATTATTTGCGTTTTTGTTAAAAATATTCACCTCTCAAACTGCTGAATAAATTTAAACCACATTTGACATGCATGTTCCATAAGTGTGTCATATTTTTCATTTTATTACCAATACTTTGATCTATCAACCAACATGAAAGCTATGACCAAAAATAGAACATATGATGTAAAATCAAAATAAGTGTTTTACATCTAAAATTCTGAAGTACTTACGTAAAATTCGACAGTGACAGCAATTCCCAGAACATCCTTCAACATTAGTGTCTTTTAGATTACGCTTTTAATTTACTTTATTATAACACAAATCATTTTGTCATGCCAGGGATTTTATAGCTTATTATACGATATGAGTTTTACTCATTGTTGACGTGATTGGTATCTGTTTTTATCTTCGTCTTTTAGTCTCTGGTGGGATGTTGCTTGTCTTATTCGAAATCATACCACATCTCCTTATTTTTATATTTGTTTTGGTTTTGGTTAACCTACAATATCTTAGAAATATCTCTAATATTCACCGATGATTTATCAAATTAGAATGAAATTTTCAACAAAAGAAGACTTCATATATATGTACAGCAAAAGTCTTTATAATGTTAAAAATGAAGTTTTATACATTGGACAAAGAATAATTGTGTAAATTATTGTAACACAACACAATATCTTATTAGAAAACT